GACGGCTCTGCCCAAATGATGACTTTTGTGAAGATCACAATCATGAAGAAACACAGCGCACTTATGGCAAAGTGATAAATAAGTGATAAATGAAACACATGATATTTAGGAAACAGAGCAGTCGACAGTTAGAATAAATGACAATGGGTAGCGTACATACAGGTATTGATGATATTTGTTCTGAAAAGTTTAAAATTACAATTTCAAAAGGGAAACCTTTGCCCTGACTTTTATTCTGCCATTGTAATCTTTCACGGAAGTACTGTCGCATAACGACAATTGTGTCAGTTTCAAGTTACGAGCGGCATTGAAGGCATCACGTCACTATGGTAACTCAACGCGGAAACTTAAGACAGAAAAGTCGGCGTGAAGTAAATTTAAGTTAGCGTTTGCAAAGACAGAAATAGCACTAACCTACACAGCGTCAGCTTATTCAATAATAAACGCAGGCTGAAGCATGATGGACAATCGTGAAGAGTGGGAGAGCTTTTTGAAGAATGTTGACAACATAAGTGAGTAACATTATTAACGCTATGAACCGCTAACTGACTGCTAACGTTAGCTCAGACTGGAGCAAAACTATACAATTATTGTTTTACCATGTAACAGTTAACGTAACTTAGCTAATATTAGTTACTAACTCACTGTTATTATTTAAACTTATATTATTATAAACCAAAGATTAGACAGACCTCTTAACGCTACCAATTAACGCTACATACAACGCTACATACAAATATGTATGAATTGAATGAAACGTATAAATGAATAAACAATGTTGATACACAAAGTATATGCAATCTAACTATATTTTACAACATAAGTGATTGTTATTGATCATGAACCTGTGAGCCAAGGCTAAAAAAAACAGTGAAATATATCACTAATTGTTTCTTAGGTGAGATAGTGAAGGATCTGAAGTCTTCTGATGTGGAAGTCCAGCAAAAAGCAATGGAGAAAGCTGATTGCTACCTCGCTGCCTTGGATGAACCCTCCAGGACTAAAGTCAACAAGACTACAATCAACACAAACCCACCACTCCAGCCTTCCTTGGTAAAGACATGCACACAAAGTCACCGAGTACAGTCGCACTCTTTCTGTCGCTCTCTGTCTGTCTGTCTGGCTGTCTGTCTCACTCAATCTGTGTGTCTTTCTGTCTCTGTCCTTCCAACACAGCACATACAGTGACACCTTGTTGTTGTTTTTTCGACCTTGTTGCTTCTTGTCTTGTAAGAGGGGCCAAGCTAAACACTGCCTTGTAAATAGTGACTAGGAAGGTTTTTGTTTACATTCTTTTAATCGTTCTTTTTCTGTTTTACAGAGACCGCAGAATGAAAGTCCAGGTGAGCAGATTAGATTGGTTGTCCCTTGCACTGAACAGAAACATTGTTTAAGCAGACTTATACAGTATGTCCTCATTGTGAGAGGAAAGTTTCTCTGTGCCAACCTCCTCCCCCCCCCACAATACTGCAATAAATATACTCTTGTATCCTTTCTTTCCAAATATAATCTAAGAGAACAGTGAGGAACTGAAGAGATATAATTCAATCACTAAAAATATACAAATGCTGCATGTGGTGCATTATTTTTGCTGAATGATACCGTACTTCACTGCTCTGTGTATTTTCCAATACAGTAACCTGCCTGAACAAACAGCTATGAAAGACGCAGTCCGTTTCACGTGGGGTTTCAGCACCCGCCGTGCATATTAACACCCTTGACTACGATGCACACCAAGTCTCTGCTTATGTCACTCAGTCTTGTTTGATCAGGAATATACTTTATGGCCTATTCTGTTAAAAGATTTATTTTTAGTCTACCATTCCTGCGCTGCATCTGATTGGTTTTCAAATACAGTAAGAAGTTTCTCGTAACATTCGGAGCCTATTTTTATGTGGCTCCATAGAAGCTGAGTGCAGATGTGACATTCCCTGAGGTGCAGTAAGTGTTTTTAATCAACTGTGTCTGTTTGGCAGGTTGTGGACTCACCATGTGCAATAGTAGGAAGATAGATGCGGTACAAAGTGTGTCCTGATCATTTCAGTGACCCTCTACAATTTTAGTGTCAAGGGTGACCATGTTTTGCTTTGCCACTTGCCTGCTCAGACTAGTTCAGACACCCCCATTTTTTGTGCTATTTTTGTCAATTTCACTCTCTTCACTCACTTATTAAACTTTCAGTATGTCATGGTGTCATGGTGAGCAGGGCACAGCTATGGATTAGATTATATGAATGGATTGGACATGATTGATATGCTTTTGTTGGTCTGTTTGTTCAGAGGCATCTTAATGCTCAGTGGCTAGGAGACTTTAGAGTTTAGGCTATCAAGACAATACACTGTATAAATACTTGTGCGCTCAAACATTAAACAACCAAGTAGGAGCCAGCTCTAGGTTATCGTGCAGGACATTTATATACTGAGATGTCGCTGTGGTAATCTTAAAAACATGTACAACTTTTTTCATGATACATATCTTGTATACACATAATTTTAGTCTTACCCTTGAATGTGGTATTCCATATAAAAGAACATTTCAAATCAACACTTTTTTCCATTCTTCTGGGGGTAAAATTCATCAATAACTGTGAAACTCTGTGCACCTTTCACACCTCTGTGTGAAACCACTAATATTAAAGTTGACACATCATACACTCAATTCACAAAATGAGGAAGAAAAAGTAATTCTGTGCTTGAGGCTGAGGAGACTGATATTTATTACATTGGACTTGGAGTAATACCCTTTTTGTCTTTACGAGAACATTTTTAGCATTAACAATAACACAAAATAAGAATCCTGTGGAATTTTAATAGTCACAAAAAATGATTTTCCAAAACCTGGTTTAGAAACTGAATTTCTAAGTTAGAAATTCTAACACAATCACATACAGTATTACACAGTTGTTGTTTTTACTCTGGCCTCAGTGATTGATTAACAAGAGATTGAAGTGAAAATTAGGATGAAATATGAAGTATTGCCTGCTGACAAATATCCCTACAGTTCCCTCCTTCTCCATTAAAGCACTCATACTCAAAGGTTTTTCTTCTTTTAACCAGAGAATTTCATGAAGATTATGGAACGAGATGCTGAAGGCAGGAGAGTAAGAAGGATTGCACAGGAGAAAAAGGCAACTGGTGTGTAATTCTCTGTTCCTTAAAGATGCTCTTGGAAGTGAACAGTTTGCTCTACTTCCTGCTCTGTTTGGCTATCAATGCATCCCTTTAAATGTTGTGTCACTGCAGCACTCAAAGACAAGGGGAATGAAGCTTATGCCCAAGAAGACTATGAAACTGCTGTGAAGTACTACAGTGATGGCTTGGCTGAACTACGAGACATGCAACCATTGTACACCAACCGAGCACAAGTGAATATCTTTAACCTATGTTTTTTTCTCTTTCAAATGTTTTACAATGAAAACACAAATTGTGTTTCGTAGGATAAGTTCTGTTATTTTAATTGAGTTGTTTCAAGAGTCCCTCAGAAGAAATCAAGAAGAAACCTTTGATTTCACAGGTCTCAAGGCAACCTGAGGCTTGCCAGCTATGTATTCTAGTTTTAGTGTGATTATGGTCACATGCAATTAGGTTGTAGATTCAATATGATCTCATCCAGAGACCCAGAATCTTAAAAGTCTGTTCTGCCGTATATTAATAACCAAACATCTACACAGCACTTATCACATTATTTACTCTTTGAACATTTATTTATTTTTTGTCTGTTTTTGATGCCGAGTTACCACCTATCCAATGCTTAAATCTGCTTAGGCTTACATGAAGCTGGGAAAGTACAAGGAAGCCATCAGTGACTGTGAATGGGCTCTGAAGGTAAGGCC